TGCGGTGGCGGGGCGGATGACGAAGTGGGGAAAGGAGGTGGCGGGAGAGCTGGAAGAGAGACTGAAGCAAGCTCGTCGCGACCTGGAGAGGTGTATGCGAGCCCCGGTTAGTGAGGAGAAAATCAGGGAGGAGGCGAAGCTTAGATGCAAAGTGGAGAAGTTAGAGGAGAGGAAGAATATGAAGGCTAAGCAACGGTCGCACGCTACCAAGCTGAAGAAGGGGAATAGAAGCACGAAATACTTCATGGCCGTAGCGTCTGCTAGGAGGAAGGCAAATAGAGTCCGGATGTTGCGGAAGGAGGATGGATCGGAAGTGAAGGAAGGAGGAGATCTCAATAACTATGTTTGTTCGTTTTTTCAGGATCTCTTCACCTCGGCACAAGGAGATCGCTTGGCTGAACTCATTGACAAAGTCCAACCGAGAGTGACTACACCCATGAGGGCTGTTCTGGAGGCGGAGTTCACCCGCGAGGAAATTAAGGCGGCCCTAGATCATATCGGAGACCTCAAGGCGCCGGGGCCGGACGGAATGCCTTCCATTGTCTATAAAAAGCACTGGCACTTTATGGGAGACAAAGTGGTGGATGAAGTCCTGGCGGTTCTCAATGGGGGAGCGATGCCTGAAGGGTGGAATGATAATGTCGTTGTTCTTATCCCTAAGGTGAAGAACCCGTGCAGAATCAAGGATTTGCGCCCCATCAGTTTATGCAACGTGGTATATAAGCTTGTGTCAAAAGTGATTGCAAACCGCCTCAAGTTGATTTTGCCAGAGATTATCTCTGACAACCAGAGTGCCTTCGTGCCAGGCAGGTTGATTACTGACAATGTCCTAATTGCATATGAAATATCGCACTTCCTGCTAAACAAGAAGGGGAAAGAGGGCATTGTCGCGGTGAAAGCGGACATGAGCAAAGCGTATAACCGCGTTGAGTGGGAATTCTTGAGAGCCATGCTGCATAGCTGCGGTTTGGAGTTCGTTGGGTTGATCTGGTTATGAACTGTGTGACTACGGTCAGATACCAGATCAAGTTAAATGCCGAGCTTACCGAGCAGTTTTCCCCTACCCGCGGGCTACGACAAGGCGATCCTACTTCGCCCTATCTGTTCGTGATCTGCGCGGAGGGTTTGTCGGCGCTGCTTCATGAGGCCGAGGCAACAGGGCGCATCACGGGCGTCAAAATTTGTCGAGCTGCACCTGTTGTCTCGCATCTCTTGTTTGCCGACGACTCGGTGCTCCTGATCAAGGCCAACCACGATGAAGCTCATGCCCTGCGCGAGGTTTTGGACCTCTATGAAAACTGTTTCGGTCAGTGCATAAACCTGGAGAAATCATCCATCATGTTCAGCCCGAACGCTCAAGCTATGGAGAAAACGGCAGTGAAAGACGCTCTGCAGATTCAGAGTGATACATGGAATGATAAATACTTGGGATTACCAATTCATGTGGGCAAATCTAGGAAAAAGGCTTTTGCTTTCGTGAAAGGGGCTATGGCCGGCAGGGTGTATGGATGGAAGGAGCGCCTCATCGCTAAGTGTGGTAAAGAGACTCTGGTCACGGCCGTGGCCCAGGCGATTCCTACCTTCGCTATGTCTTGCTTCTACCTCACGAAAACCTTCTATGAGGAGCTGAGTTCACTCCTCGGTGACTACTGGTGGAGCCAGCAGGACAAAGATAGGACCACTCATTGGATTGGCTAGAAGAAACTGACCTTGCCAAAGGCCCAAGGGGGTCTCGGTTTCCAAGACATGTATGCGTTCAACCTGGCGATGCTCTCGAGGCAGATATGGAGGCTCATCCAGTTCCCACAGTCATTGTGTGCTCGAATTTTGCAAGCCCGGTACTTCCCAAACGGCCGACTCCTTGATGCGGTGCCACGAGACGACATCTCTTATGCCTGGAGGAGTTTGTTACATGGCCTCAAGCTTTTCCGCGAGGGTTATATCTGGAGGATCGGTGACAGATTGCAGGTTCAAATCTGGACGGACCCCTGGCTGCCGCGTCCATGGTCCCGGCGTGTGATCACCCCCCGGGGGGCTAACTTGTTGGAGAAAGTGAGTGATCTCATTGATCCGATCATAGGGGCTTGGGATGAACAACTCGTGAGAGATATGTTCTGGCCCGATGATGTCAAACATATCCTTCAAATCCCTCTTCGGGATGGTACTCAGGACTTCATCGCTTGGCACTACGATAAGAAAGGGATTCACTCCGTCAAGAGCGCCTACAAACTCCAGAACCAGCTAGAGCGTACAAAGTGTGATGGGGGAGTGGGTGGAAGCTCACTCGAAGCGGGAAACCTGGAGAGTACAAGTGATGACTCGTGGAAAAGATTGTGGAAGCTGCCATGCCCTCGCAATATTCAGATGTTTGCTTGGCGGCTCAAGCATGATGCCCTGGCTCTCCGCACCAACGTGGCGAGGAAGGGGATCCCCATTGCCGATACAAAATGTCTTTTATGTGGAAGGGCAGACGAGGATGGCGCCCATCTGTTCATCAAGTGCAAGCACACCAAGGAGGTGTGGAGAGCGCTCGAGCTGGAGGAACAACGAGTCATGTTGCAGAAGTTAGGGCCCGTGCATGCGGTTCTTGATTTTCTTTGGGAGCTTGATGTAAAAAAGCGGCTGTACATCCTCACATTCTGGTGGCTATGGTGGTCCAATCACAACAAGCTTCGTCAAGGGGAGATGCCTTTGGGTGCTGACACAGTGGCGCGCCGCACGAGGAGCCGTGTGCTCGAATTCATGGAAATCTTTGGGAAGCCAGTCGCCAAACCTGCACCTGACAAGTGGCGGCCGCCGTCCCATGCAGACTACAAGATTAATGCGGACGGGTCACACGTTCCAGGCCAAGATCATGCAGGATGGGGAGTGGTGGTAAGAACTAAAGATGGCAACCTGGCCTTTGCCCGGGCAGGTAGGCAGGAGCACATTTCTGATCCCTTTGCGGCCGAGATCTCTGCCATGGCTCATGCCGTCCATACCGCTGCGGACCTGGGTATCGTCCGGGTAGAACTGGAGACAACGCAACTTGTGGCTGAAGCCCTGGATATACAGAAAGTTGATTCATCGACACATGCTGTTGTCATTGAGGACATCAAATACCACCTGAAACTTTGGTTCTCTAAAGTTACTATTTCCGTGTGTAGGCGTAGTGCAAATTCAGTTACTCATGAACTCGCCAATATTGGCCGCTTGTGTGAACCTTACCACTCCTTGCAGTGGGAGTCTGATGTTCCCACCCATGTGGACGTTTGTATCTTGGGCAATCTGCCTAAAAACAGTTAAGTAATAAAGCAAGTGCTTTACTTAAAAAAACGGAGTCATCAGCTCATCTCCGGTCTGAACTTTCAGTTAAAGTGACTGTAACCATCTAGACTATGCATGAAAAAGGAAAAATTCCGTCGCCGGGACTTGAACCCGGGTCTCTCGGGTGAGAGCCGAGTATCCTAACCACCTAGACTACGACGGATGACTGGCTATAGTCCAACAGTTAACTTCTTATTACGGATTGCATTACAATAAGGCTTGCAAGTTGCAACAGATTAAATAGTCCGTCCAGCTGCTGTGCATGGAGCCAGGTCACAGAT